TTTATCATCCTGTAACATGGGCTCCATAAACTGGAAGACACTGATATTTTTAAATAGGACAATTCTGTCAAAAGAAATTGCTAAACTCATTTGTGTCTACTACTGTTGGCTTTCAAAATATTAAAGTGAAGAAATTACAAGACTGCATGAAATTACTATTGCCTCTGGAACATACAGGGTTTATTAACAGAGTGGTTCATTTCAGTGAGTAACTTTCATCAAAACAAATACAATTCTGAGTTTCACTTTCCTTTCTGAAAATACTCATACATATAACACTCCAGGTGGGCAAAATTTATACTACAATTTAAATTCAAAAAGTCAAAATTTCACATGTTTTAAAATCCATGGCCATTTCTAGTTTTGCTACAGACTTTCATTGGCTCAGCTTTGGGTTGTCTCTGCATGAAGACAGGGTCGCAAAAGGTACATGGATAAAAACACTCCACCTACCTTGGAGTGGAGACAGAACAATTGACAGAAATGAAGAATTTGGAAGCCTGTTTGGAGTTTATAAGTTAGTCATTAGCCTTATAGTTTGTACACGAGGAAAGGTACAAATTTGATCCTCACAATACTGTTTACTTGTCATTCTAGTCTGCCAGGTAGGATTTGGGTTGAAAATCCATCATCCAAAGAACTCTTCTTACAAACCCATTTTCTCCAAAGAGAGAAGTGTCCACGTCTGATAATCGTAGAATTCTGACCTGGTAGAGATGAGTTCAGAAGATAGAACACTCACTTGTCTCTCTGGGGTATAGCAGCCATCAACTCTTTTTTAGTAAATGATGCACCAGTTGCTGCCATTGCTTGGCATCAGCCCTCCAGTGATAAGCAAAATCAGGTCAACAAACCACCAAATCCCAAGTCCTCCAAGTGTCAACAGCTTCCCCACTGCTGTACCAGTGTGTCCCAGACAGAAACGATCCACTCCGAAACATCCCAGGAAGAAGGAGTACAGTAAAGTGGTTATGAAATAGTGCCCGGTATACTTTATACAAGGTTTATTTTCTTGTAGGAAGGTCCTAGGACTGGCACACTCAATTCCATCTAGGGCCTGACATTGGACAGAAGTGTGTTCCACATCACTGTAAGCCTGACCACCAAACTTGAGGCAACCGTAACCAAGTTCTTGGGATGCAGTTGAATTTCCAACATGATCCACTGGGTCATCACAATGTATAAATTCATCAGGTTGGGCAACCGCCAAGCACCATCTTCCCGGGCCCGTCGGCACCGACCGGGCCTTAACCACAAAGCCAGGTGGATACAGAAGAGCCCTCCTTCATAATTCTTATTTGTGAGTTAGGGCCCTGTTTTATAGAACTGTACGGATATAATAATGGTCTTTTTTGAGGGATGGCAGGAGTTATCAGGACCTTGCACTTTCCAGGCAGGTGCTGTAATGATAGAGTCATGCACTGATCCTTTATCTGGTAAAGGAGGCACATGCTATACAGCCTACAAAGACTAGATTATGCTCAGTAGCAATCTTATCATTTTATAACTTAGTATAATATTATATTTTTCATTTGAGATATACATCCAGTGAAGATCAATAAGGGATTTAGCTGTATGTGGTGGCACACACCTGTAATCCCAGCACACTGGTCATTGAGAGGCCGAGGCAGGAGGATTCATACAAGTTCAAGACCAGCCTGGGCTACATAGTGGGTTCAAACCCATCTTGAAGTACATACTAAGACCCTGTCACAAAGACCCAAACAAACAAAAACCAAACAACCAGACTCTGAAAACAAGAGCACATGGGTTCTGCAGATTTCACAAGGATTGGGATTGGGACACCTGACCCCAGGCATGGGCACTGTGTTAGTTGATACATTATGTCAATTTGGCTGAATCAGCTCCTAGTATGGGGGCCTAGCCCTGCAGATGGGCAGGGCCCAGGAATTGAGAAAGGCAGGAAGCCACCTGGCCCGGTTTCCTGCCCCTCCACCCAGCTTCCCTAGAGAAGTCTCAGTCTTCGGAGGAGCTTGATCTTGGCAGCTGTGCCACTTTGGAGGAGCTCTGATCCTCACTGTGGAGCACCGGTTTTCACAGTCAGCGCAGAAGGAAGAGAGAGGCTTGATGGAC